CAAAGATTTAGGTTATCTAAAGATGCAGTTCATTATTTACATCAAAATATTGCTGATAAAATATGAAATCCAACGGATAGATAAGAATGATAAAACAATCGGAAATATGTTAGTTATTAAATGAAATTTATTAACATTTCAGGAACCAATTTGTATCTTCAGAGAATATGGTTTTTGTTGCCTTAAGGTTTTATGCAACTGGCTCCTTTTTGCAAGTAGTGGGTATTTTATGGGCATCAACAAATTAACAGCTTGCAGAATTGTCCATAAAGTTTCCAGAGCTATTGCCAGTCTAGGCAAACAATTCATTAAGATGCCACAAAGGGAATGTGAGATGAAAACAGTCAGCAAGGAATTTTATAAGATTAGCCGTTTTCCAAGATGTATTGGTGCTCTCAACTGCACTCATATCAAAATTTCTTCTCCTGGTGGACAAGAAGCAGAAATTTATAGAAACAGAAAAGGATTTTATTCTATAAATGTCCAAGTAGTGTGTGATGCAGAATGTCGAATTGAAAATATAGTTTGTCGATGGCCTGGTTCTACACATGACTCAACCATATTTAATAATTCTAGGCTAAGAGCAGATTTAGAAAGTGCGCATTATGGAAAATATCTTTTGGTTGGTAATAGTGGTTACGGAATCAAAAAATATCTCATAACACCCTTAGGCAATCCTCAATCACCAGCCGAAAATTTATTTAATGAGGCACAAATTTCTTTCGGAATATGGAGACTTTCGGAATATGGAAACGGCGACTTCCTGTCTTAGCTTTTGGGATAAGGGTATAATTACAACGTATAGAAGCAATTGTAATTGCAACAGTGTTGCATAATATTGCAATTCTTTTTAATGATCCACTACCCATACTACATGAAGAAGAGGAAGCAGCAATGGCAAGAAAAATGGAACGGGGAAATCAGAAACATAACCCATATATGAAAAATGAGGAAGTAATATTAATAAATGAACCTGTGGAAATAATGAGAAATTGGCAAACTTACTTAATTACACAATTTCTAAACACAAACAAAGAAGAAAGGGGAACAATTCAGAAAATTGAAGATGATCAGATAATAATAGAAACACGTATGAGGGAAGAAATAGAAAATGAAATAAGAGGATAAAAAACAATAAAAGCCCAGGAATAACAGAAATATCGGTGAAAATGATAAAGGCAGGAGGAAAAAGACTTCACAAGAAGATACATAGCCTGATAAAAAGTATATGGAAAAAAGAAAGAATGCCAGGAAAATGGGCCCGGGCAAGGATATGCCCTATACATAAAAAAGGTGACAAAATGAGATGTTAAAATTATAGAGGTATCGCGTTGCTAGAAGTCGTGTACAAAATATTGACAAACATCATAATAATAAAGTTGACTCAATACACGGAAAAGATATTGGACTAATATCAGGCAGGATTCAGAAGTAATAGGTCGACGACAGACCAAGACTACGTGCTACGAACATAAAATAGCAGTATACATCCTGTTTGTCTACTTTAAACAGGCCTACGATACGGTAAAGCGGCAACAGATGTTTGCACTAATGAAAGAAATGGGGATACCAAGTAAAATCGTCAGGATGGTAAAAATGACTTTGGATAACTCCACAAACGAAATAGTATGGAAGTAACAAAAATTAAATAATTTTGAAGAAAAGGAATGATAAAGACAAGGAGACCCACTGTCAACGACTCTTTTTAATTTAATACTGGAAGGAATAATTAAAAAAAAAGGTAAAATTTACACACAGAATACGATTTTTAAAAATGGCCATCAATGTATAACATTCGTAGATGATCTAACACTATTAACAAGTAAGAAAGAGCTAAAAAAATTAATGAGCAATATAATAAAAGAAGCAAAAGTTTTTGGTCTTCTCATGAATAAGGAAAAGAAAAAATTCATGATGATGGGAGAAACAGATAAAGAAAAAGACAATTTCACATTTTAGGTAGAAGGAGAAAATTCATGCGCTTCATGCGTTTAAACGAGTTTCATAATTTATTTACCTGGGTGTAAAAGTAGATGAAAAGGGATATGGGGAAGGGGAGATAAAAGCAAGAATAGCAAGAATAGAAAAGTATGGAGCATTGCGTTTATTAACGAAATCCAAATATGTCTCAAAAAAAAAACAAAAACAAGAATCTACAAAACAGTTATAAGACCTACAGCTACATATGCATGTGAAATATGGGTGCTTAAAAAATCAGAAATAGACCTCTTAGAAAGGTGGGAGAGAAAAATACAACAAGCAATATATGGAGGCGTGACAATAGATCGACAATGGAGAAGAAGAAATAATAAGGAACTTGAAGAACTATATAATGAACCAAAAATAACGACGGCAATCAAAGCACTGAGAATCTGATACCTAGGACACATCGAAAGAATGGGAAAGGCTGGAATGCCAAAAATAGTTCTATTACGTAAACCAATACAAAAAAATAGAATAGGAATACCAAGAAGGAGATGAAAGGACAGTGTATATGAAGTATTAAAAAAAAGTAATATTGTAAACTGGAAAGAAAAAGCTTTGGACAGAAAACAATGAAAGGAAGTATTGAAGAAATGTATGGAAAGACCATAAGGAATACTAAGTGAAGTAATAAATGTTGTATATAAACAAATGTAATATTATATATCATGGACGTATAAACACAGATGGACTCAGTTATTTACATAAAATTGTAAAGTCAAAATTATTTGAATAGGTCACATTCTCAGCACCTTCAACTGTTGTCACGTTTTGTTTTAAAATTTCTTAGTCGCGAGTCGCTGAAAATATTACTCCGCATTTTATACTCTACAGGTGCTATCAAACCAAAATAATAATTTATTGGTTAGATTAATATATTTAATTGTAATCAAAATATAAAGTGTGCACATAGTGTGCATTATCATTTAATAATAGCGTATAATAGATATCAATCAATTATTTTATATGTAGAAGCACTGAAAACTATTTATAAATGGCAACGGTTGTTTACATTTCTCTGTCTTATGGATCTACTTCAAACTTCAAATGCTGTTCCATGTTTGTTTACTTTTTAGTAAAAGTTGTTTTTCGTTATTTTGGCTGTATTTTGAGTGATATTTGTGAAAAGTGAAATAAAATAAACGAAATATTTACATCCCGATCTCTCATTTCATTTGTAAGTACATACAATTTACATTATTTAAGATGAGGAAATGAGGAAGCGTGTTTGTTTACATTTTAATAGGCGAACCATTGGGTTTATTCATGTTCATTAATGTATTGAATAAGATATAAAGGTATTAATAAGTTCATGAAATTAGTAGACATTTTTAAATTGTAAGTAGACATCATCTGATTAAAAAATATCTGTTTAGTACCTTTTTAATTTAATATTTCTCATGGATGCAAATAAATTAGTGAAATGAATCAAACTTATTTATTTTTCTATGTAGGTTTCCAAATAATATTGACGATCGAACTATTTTGGTAGCAAATTTAGGAGAAAACATAAAGATTTTTTATTGTAGCATTATTTTGATACTTACCTATTAAAAATTAACTTGAATTCAACTATATTTTATTGTATTAATTTTAAAGCAAATAAAATTGTATTTTAATTTTTCTATAAAGACGTGATTTGTTAATAGTTAAACTCTCGTTTTTTTTTAATTCTTTGAACGTATTTTTATACATTATTGCTACTTCCAATTTTTAAAATCTGAATTAAAACCCACGAGTAAAAATTCAAGCACGCTTATGCTCATTGCGGAAGCATCACATTCTATCGAAGCTTCAAAACATTGTGTGTTAAAGGTATCTTATTGCTGTGTCCATCTATGTTTATACGTCCATGTTATATATACTGTAGTAGTATAGGATATAGCATTATATACAATAGTAATTGTAATGCAGGCCATTCACGTTCCGACTTGTGGTACGACTAGTGGTCCAACTTCTGCAGTTGGATCTGAAATCGGACCGTGAGTGGGCTAGTTGGATTAGTTGGACAACTAGTGGTACGACTAGTGGGACGACTTGAAGATCCGACTTCCGACTGGCGACGAAGTCGGAGCGTGAATGGTGAAGTTGGAAGTCGGATCACAGGTTGGATCGAAAATTTCCTCAGTCAGTTGACTTTCAGCACCTGTTACGTATGAGATTTCTATGAAATACTTTACGCAAAGATCTCTAGTTCGCAAATATTTATTAGAAAATAAAGTTTCAATTGCACGAAAATTACCTTTTTGTTAGGGCCTTTCATCATTTTCCTTTCTGTAGATCTATTTCGGACATTCCTATACAGGTAAATTTCCGATACTCCGGATTGGCTACAGAAGAATTATCAACATACAATAAAAATTAAATCATACTTGTAGCAAAAGATCCCTAGCTCGCAAAAAAATAATAGAAAATAACTTTCAATTGCACAAACAATAATTATTCCTATTAAAAATATACGACACACACACAACAAAATAAATCCCAGCTCCAGTTTAAAACAAATAAAATATAGATTTTATACCTATACAAATCTTTAAAAACTATAATTTTTTTCCTACATCTTAAAAAGTCATAAAAATCAAGAGTTGAAAAAATTAATTAGTTCAGCCCTAGACAAATACCTAGAGAAACTAAACCTAATTTTTAAATTATCATAACATACAATAAAGATAACAAGCACAGTGCTGTCATTTTTCTCCTCCTAATTATATTTTGCGTAGTGTTTATTCGATACATCCTAGAACTGAAGTTGGACCGCTAGTTGGATAGAAAGTCGGAGCGTGAGTGGAGACGAACATCCAACTAGTGGTCCTACTTAGTGGTACCACAAGTCGGAACGTGAATGGCCTGCATAAGGAGAAATTAAATCTTTCAGTCCTAGGCCTTCAAGGCCTGTTGAGCTTAATAAATAATTATGTAATTAATATTATAACCTTTCTTTGTTTTAATATGTATTTTTTATATGACTGAAATTTATTTATTAAATAATAACGTATTTTTAAATTTTCATAGATTTATCGTACATGCCTCACCAAAACTAATTCAAAACCAAAAACTAAACTACTAACAATAATTAAGGCTATATACACAAAAAATACACTTTGCAAACTATTTAGTTTCAGGGGTTTAAAATAAAAAGACTTTTTCTTTTGTGATACAGCCACTGCTTTTTCAAATTGTCGTTTGTAAATTTTATACTGGTACTCAACGAATCCGGTTTCTTTAAGAGTTGTCAGTTTTCTATTAAAAATATTAAAAAGAGGATGTCCTTTTCTAAATGCAAACACGAAATATAAATAAGTATGGAAATCTTTTAGTAATATATTTAAAAGAGGAAATCCATTTTCATCAAGGTACACCTCTGGTCCAACATATTCAAGACGCTTTGACAGAATTAGTGCTACTGTATTCTTCTCATAAGCTATCATATTTACGCATTGCCAGTAATCTGGGTTAACTATAACATCACTGTTCCAACCGAAGTAATGTTCAATAGGATCTTTTGAAGTTTTATAAGAATCAAAAAGGACTTTACTAGGCAAACATATTTTAAATTTAAATTTGAGCATATCTATTTGGCGCTTTATAGGATTATAGGCGTTGTCTTTTCTAATAATATCAAACATTTGGCTTTTGTAAACAGTAGTGAATATTAAAACAAATATAAGATAGTTGATAAAAATAATTTTAACTGCCCTTTGTTTAGAATACAAAGTAAAAGTTCCTTCAAAGAGCACAGACAAAAGAAAAGAGAGAATATTAGTATATCTGTGCTCAGGAACTAAATAGTCTATTAAAGAAATGATCACGCTCAAAATTAGAAGTAAAAGGGCAAAATATGCCCAAACAGAATTTGCAAACTCTCCATAAAATATTGCCCAATTATTTGTAATCAATATATTTGGTGTTATAAAGATCAACTTATCTTCTGTGATCCTTATACTTTCATCAAATGAATGCGATTGAGTACTAAGTCTTGAAGAAAACAAGGCAGCGTACAAGTCGTAAGTCCAATTTGATATGAATTCTGGAGTTATTTCAAGAATGGTAGGACGTTCTCTTGACTTTATAAAATTTAGCTTAACGTTTATATTTTCTGCAATTATACTTAATAATTCGATATGAATTCCTTGAGTTGTACTAATTACATAAGGTTCATCAATGCTATAGAGAACGTTGAGGTAATCGTACTTCTTGATAATTTTTGTTCTTAACTTGTTTATTGCTGGCCAGTTTTCTTTTTGATTTGGGCACATGTGAATTAATTCATGTCCCGTTGATTTCATCATATAGATTTCATAGTAATCTATGTTGGTGTTTAATGTAATAAATAAGATTTTAGAAATAAAATAATGTTCAAGACTCTTCATTATAGTTTCATCTATATTTTGTACAATTAATATATAATATTTTAGATTGTTTAATATTTTTAATTTATACAAAACACTTAAAACTTCTGAAACATTTATTGAGACAAGATATACATTAGGAAATATCGGGGGAATTTTTTTAATTTCACTAATTCGATTAAAGGAAACTGTAGGGTAATTTTTAATTGGTATGTTAGCATTTACCACATAAATAAATTTCTTTTCTTCATTTATAAAATCAAATAATTCGTTTAAGCAACCTTCTAAAATATTTAAATTACTTTTAACAGAAATATATGCTTCTGTTAAGAGTATACCACTAGATAACAAAAACAAGAGAAGCATTTTTTCAACTGATTGTTCTAAATAAAAAAAGTTAGATATTTTGACACAGTAATTTATAATGTATCCAAAATATTCTCAAGGCGGGCAAATTACCTTATTTTGTATATAAATACAGCCAGTATGAATTATGTATATCCTTTGCTTTGACATCAACATTTGTATGTAATTTTTATCAGAGTAGGAATAAAAATCGAAGGGAATTATTTTTAAAAATAAATTGTCTAAATACTTTCATTTTCCGTACTCTCCATATTTCCTTATCCATACAAACAGTAATATCTAACGTAAACGATTCTAGTACCCTCAAGTTATATAAATGATTGAATGAGTAATACAATGAAATTACTCAAATGGTAAGTCATAATTATTCTTTATTAATGTGTATTTGGAATTCAATATTTTGGAAGATCCCTTTTTCTAATTGCCAAATAGTGTCTTGACAATAAAATGATAATGATACTTCATTCTGTTTCAATTATTTGTAAGTAAGCATTTAAAAATTATTATAATTTTTAAAAAACATGAAAATGTGGGACCTTATAAAGATGTTCAGCGCAAAAAAACATCAAAAAGTATTGACAAAACGCCTACACAGCCATTTGAACATGATTTTTGTTCTTTCAAATGGGATAAACAAATATAATTGTTTGAAAACTACTTGACCGATCATCCCATCTTCCACAGATGTATTAACTACATAATGATATTATCAAATTAGACCTGAGGCCCATGACACTACTACCATCATCATCATCAGTGGTGTTACAGCTCTTTATGAGCCAAAGCCTTCTTCAGAACAATCCTCCATTCGCCCCTGTCTCTGGCAACTCTTCTCCATGCTTTAATTCCGATAGACTTCAAATCATTTTCTAGGTTGTCTTGGTACCTAAGTCTCGGTCTTCCTCTTCTTCGTTATCCGATCGGCCCTCTTCACAATGTCACAATGTCAGGTTCTCCAAAACTTCTATACAACTCGAAATTGTAACACCTGCGCCACAAACCTTGTTCTTTTATGCCTCCATATATTCGTCTTAGTATTTTTCGCTCAAAACGTTTGAGCAATTCTTGGTCCTGTGCTAGTGTCCAAGTTTCTGAACCATATGTTAGCACTGGTCTTGTTAATGTTTTGTATACAGTCAGTTTAATTTTTCTAGCCATTTTTGAGGCCATCTGTCTTCCTAAGCCATAGTAACACTTATTAGCGAGCACTATTCTTCTTTTAATTTCTTCACTAACGTTGTTATCTTTGGTTAGCAGCGACCCTAAGTATATGAAGGTGTCGACACCTTCCAGTTTTAGGTCATCAATTATTATTCGTGTAGGTGTCGGGTTGCTTGACCTAGTGCAACACATACATTTGATCTTTTGAACATTTATATTTAGTCCCATTCTGTGTGCAGATGCTCTCAACGACCGAAATGCTTCAGTCAGAGATTCTGTGGACCTACCTATGATGTCTATGTCATCTGCGTATCCGACAATTTGTACTGATTTGTTAAAGATAGTACCATTTGTAGTAATCTGCGACTCTCGAATTATTTTTTCTAATGCCAGGTTAAATAAGAGACACGATAGTCCATCACCCTGTCTTAGTCCATTTTTGCAATGGAAGGGTCTTGAGAGATCGTTTTGGATTCTTACCATGCTTTTTGCACCTGTAAGTGTAAGTTCAGTTAACTGCACAAGATCAAACGGAATGCGAAATTCTACCATAGCAAGTAGAAGTTTATTTCTATTAACGGAGTCGTATGCGGCTTAGAAGTCAACAATATGTGGTGGATGTCGACGCCGAACTCTAGGGTTTTTTCAAGGATCTGCCTCACTGTAAATATCTGGTCCGTTGTTGATTTATTAGGACGGAAACCGCACTGATATCCTTCCACTATTTGTTCGGCGTAGGGGAGGAGTCTTTTGTGCAATACGTTAGACAACACTTTATATGCCATATTGAGTAGAGTGATGCCTCTATAATTATCACACACCATCATGTCTCCCTTTTTGTGTATAGGACACAGTACACCTAATTTTTAGTCTGTGGGTGTTTCTTTCTGTTGCCATATTGCAGTTATCAGTTTATGCATGTGTTTCAGGAGGGGGTCGCCACCGTTTTTGAAAAGTTCGGCAGGGAGATTATCCGAACCGGGGGCTTTATTATTTTTCAGTGTTGCGATGACACTACTATACTGATCATTAACCATTGCATTACTGTCACTAAGAAGAGATGACGGTTTATTTATACCGTTGATGGTGACGTAGTTTGGGTGGATGTTCGTGTGGGGGTTAGTGTGGGTATCGGAACGGAGATTGGTGCGGGGTTTGGCGCGATCATTTCTGAAAGTAGGATTTTGATTGGTGAGAGGGGCAGACGATATTCTCTCTATGAGAGGTTACCATGTTGAAGGTAACCGTATGCCCAATCTCTTTTATTGAAACAATTTGGCCTTTTTTCAATTTCTATAAATCTTATTTCAAATTATTGTGTGCTTGTGCGCATCCTACGACATAACTACTTATACTCGATCGTAAAAATGTCGATGTTTATCTCTAAGGCTTTATTCAAGCGTACTGTCATATATAATAGAAGGTAAATACATTTTTTTTATTGCTACATTGCATGTTTACAGTCTACTCTATAGACGGAGTAATCCGTCCGTCTCTCTCTCCTACTTATTCTAGTATTATTATTCTCTCCTACTTTCTCTCGGCAAGTGGGTGGGTGAATGAATTATTTATCAGTTTGTTCTTGTGATCAGTGGTAAGATTTTTATCTTTTATTCTTTAATGTGTTCTTTAATGTGTTTCTTCAAAGATTCTTTAATGTGTTCTTAAGTAAAGAGGTGTCAGATAATTGTGAAGTATTTGGTTAGATACATACTATGGAGCGTTACTTATCATACGGAGTATTTTGGATTGGAATATTTGAAGTATTTTCATATTTCAAGGTTTACTACAACTCCTTAGTTCTATTCCATATGCCCAAACTAGTATGAGTATAGCTTTGTCTCAGAAGAGATAACTGAGACCTTTTGTTAAATAACCAGTTCATATTTTCTAGATTAAGATCTAGTTGTTTCCGTCGAATTTTAATGTGCGTTGTGCATATAAGTTTTTCATCCAGATGTAATTCCATAGTATTTGACAATTGGTTTTATAGGAATGGGAGTATTGTTTATAGAAACTTGTAATTTCTGTTAATCTATGTAACATATATGAAATTTATGAAATTCCGATGTCAAAATACAACTTTGAGACAGAATTAAATACAATTAAGCAAATAGCAGTAAACAACGGATACAACGAACAAACAATTAATAAAATGTTAAATCAAAAACTATACAAGAAAGCCCTGAAATTAGTATTTCCACCACCAGAGAAAAAACACAATACCTTCTGCTCGATTACATATGCAGGCAAAATAACAACAAAAATTGCCAAACACATAAAAAAGAAAGGAATAACACCAGCTTTCCGAACAAATAACAACCTAGGCAAATATATTAAAAATAACAAGAGCCAAAATAAAAAACACTTAAATAGTGGTGTGTACAAACTTCAATGTGGCGACTGCCCAAAAACTTACATCGGTCAAACTAGTAGAAACTTTGATAAACGAATAGCAAAACATAAAAGGGCTTTCAAGAATAGAAAAACAGATTCGACTTACGCACTTTACCTTCTAGATCATAATCATTCTTTTAATGACAAATTTAGAATTCTTCACATTCAAAATAAAGGCCTTAAGCTATCTTTGTTAGAATCTATGGAAATGAACAAATTAAAAAACACAGATATAATTTATAATTCTGAATGACCAACTTGAGACAAACAGTTCTCCCCTCCTCAACCTATTTCATTAGAGACTATAAATTTGTAAACCCAAGCCAAAAATAGATCACTTGAGAAAGGCAATCAGCCGAAACAGCTGTAGTGATAACATTTAAAATAAATTTTGTGGAAGTTTGAAAACAAAGTTTTCAGTGTTTTATTGTTACATAAAATGAATTTCCATGAAATAACGGTCGAATCCATCAATTAAATACAAATAAGCCCAGAACAAGTAGCTAGGGTATGGAAAGAATATTATGAGAAAAAATTTGATGATGAAATGAAGGTGAAGAAAACACAGAGATCGAGCAAATAACTAGAGAAAAAGTAATAGAAGAATTATCAAATATTAAAATAGGCAAGGCAGGTGGAAATGATGAAATTGAACCTGAAATGGTAAAATACATGGGAGAAGGAGGAATAAACGGGCTATGGAAGATATATAACGAGGCGTGGGAAAAACAAACAATCCCTAAAGACTGGCAGAAGTATATCATCGTGCGAATATACAAAAAAAGAGAACATGTAAACTGCGACAACTATAGAGCAATATGTCTGTCATCGGTATGCTTTAAAATATATACGAAAATAATAGAGAAGAGACTGAGACAAGAAATAGAAATGGTATTGGGAGAAGAAAAAACGACATTTAGACCGGGAAGACAGGCAAATGACAACATATATATCATTAGAAACCTTATAGAAAGAAGCATAGATACGGGGGAAAAACTAGTATTAGCATTCATAGACCTAAGAGCAGCATTTGACACGATAGAAAGACATATTATAGGGAAATGCTTGAGAAAAATAAATATACCTAATGTATTGATAAAAATTATAGAAAGTACTTACAAAGAGGTAAAAGGAAGGGTACAAATAACAGGGGAAAGATCGGAAGCATTTAATTGGAAGAGAGATATTAAACAAGGAGATAGTCTCAGCGCTTTGCTATTCATAATAGTAATGAACGAATTGATAAGAAACACTAGAGTCAGAACCAATCAACTACAGACAATAATAGGATACCACAGATTACAATCGGTAACAATAGACTCATTAATGTATGTAGACGACATGGTACTAATAGCAGATTCCGAGAATAAAATGCAGAAACTAATGAATATATGAGTAGAACAAATAGAAGAACTAAAAATGGAGATAAACGAGGAAAAAAGTAAAATAATGATAATCAGCGGCAAAGGAGATAAGGAAGAAAATCTAATGAAGATAAAATGTAAAAACTCAGAATTGGAAATGGTAAAAACATACGAATACCTGGGAAGTATAATAACTAATGACGGAAAAATAGACTGAGAAATAACAAATAGAGCAAAGAAATCAAACAAGTTATACTATGCGTTGGCATAGCCCCAATAATGGGAAAAAGAGAACTTACACCAGAAACAGGAATAAAAATATATAACACAATAGTGATACCGACTGTGCCCTATGCAAGTGAAAACTGGACAATTCTGGAAAAACATAAGAGCAGAATAAACGCAATGGAGATGAGACATCTAAGTTAGTTGGAAAGACAAATGGGATAGATTAAGCAACGAGACTATTAGGAGAATGGCCAACCAGGAACCGATAAGGAACAAAATAGCAAAGAGACAAATGAACTGGTATGGGCATCTGATGAGGATGCAATCCAATAGAATAACAAGAAAAGTTTATGAAGCAAAAAACATCGGAAAAATAAAAAGAGGCAGACCAAGAAAAAAATGGATACAGCAAGTAGTAGAGGCGGGAAAACAAAATCACTCGAGGAATTAAAAATAATGGCAGGAAACAGAAAAGAATGGAAGAGGTGGGTAAATGAAAATTAAAATAGCTAGTCCAAATCCGATACCCTGATAGGGTAAAAGGAAGGGGAGAAAGAAAGAAAGAAAGAAAGTTATTTTGTTGGATAATGTTCATTAATGCTGGACATTTAGGCGTGAATAATCTGGAACCCCATGTAGTGTGTTTGGCATTCGAGTAGGTAAATAAATAAGTTCAATTTAATGTTGTATATCTTTATTAAATTAACTATACATTCGAACTGTTTGTTTATTAAGGCGAAGTATATTAAGAGAGATATTATCAATTTCTTCCCCAATGTACGTCAAAGAATTTATGGTTTGAAAAAGCACAAATAAATGAAACTGAACTTATGATCTGACCAGTATTCGGGGACTGTTTAGATATGTCATTAATATATTAAAGTTGTTATGTTCTCACTAGTGTTACTACTGAGTTACAAAAATTATGCTTTATCATTATTTTTTTTGCTAAAATCTCTATGCAAAACGTAACTATACTTATGATCAAACATAATATATAGAGATAAAACATTACTTGAAAACTTTTCATATTTAAGGGTTTATAATATAATTGATCAGGTTTTTTAATTAAGAATTTTGTTTTTTCGTACCTTCTCTTATATTTTCTATACTGATATTCAGTTAAACCACTTTCTTTAAGAATTCTTATTTTTCGGTTAAATAAATCACGTAAAGGATGTCCTTTTCTAAATACAAAAACAAAATATATATCTTCTTTATCTTCTCTTTTAATTATTTTCACCATGGGTTCATTTTTGGAGTCAACAAACATCTCTGATAGAAAATATTGTCCCATTTTTAAAGGTAGTGACAAAAATAGGTCCTTCGCGTACGCAACTCGTTTAATACATTTAAAAATATTCTTACCACAATAAACATTAACATTTGACTCAATCAGTTTTCGTTCAGTTGGATCTGTATTTTGTGTATATCGTTTATTAACTGCAGGCAGTAAAAGCCCTATGTCAATTTTATATTTTAACAGATCAAATGGTGTTTCTATTACGTTGTAAGAGTTATTCACCCTCATTATACCAAACATTTTACTTTTGTAACCAGTTGTGAACACTACAACAAAAATTAAATAAAAAACGAACAGTATTTTAAAAGGCCTAGATTTGGCTTTGACAGAAGCAAAGACGCCTTCAAACAAAATACTAAGTAGGAGCAGACTTGTTGAAGCATCTTCTTTTAAATATTTTTTTACTATGTAAAAAGCAAGATATAATATCGACATCGTTATCAAAAAATAAATCCAAACAGCAGTTTCATATTCGGTATACAAAACATCCCAAAATCCTTCCTTTATTATAACGGGAGCTAAAAAGATTACTCCATCCTCGGAAACTTCCACGGTTTTATCAACATCCATATTTTCAAATTGGCTAATAGAATTTAAAGTGGCGACTATGTCGTAAGAATTATTGGTCATAAATTCTTTAGGAATCCACATTGGATTGGTGGAATAATTTGACCTAATGAAATTTATTTTTAATTTTAAGCTAGAACCAATAATCTTAAATAAATTAACATGAATGCCATCTTCTGAAGATAAAATAAAGGGAGGATAAATATCATAAAAAATATTTATGTGAGAAAATCTTTTTGTGTAGTTTTTGAAAAAGTCCGCCTGTAAAAATTTCATGGAATTTTCAAAATTATTAGTTTTGTTAAGTATGTTACACAAGAATACATTTGCGATATTTGGTCTGGCAACCTTCTGAGTGTGTAATGTGCATAATTCATATTTTTTATTTTGATTCACTTTTAGCATTACAATTTTGTAAATATAATATCGATGAATCAGTTTCAGAACACTATTAGTAATTCGGTCAACTACCAATATAAAATTGCTCCTGCTGTTAAGTAAAAGTGACTTAGAAAGGGCACTTAAATGACCACTGATGTTTTTCCCTATGATATAAAAGTCTGGATTAAACTTTTGCGTGTATTCTACATTAAGTTCTCTTCCAAATGAAATCACAGGGTAGTTAATAATGCGTATAGGAAAATCTATTATATAAATTGTCTTCTTTTGGCATTCTGCTGATTGAATTATTTTATTTACCAAACACTCCAGGTTATTGGTAGAGAACCTTTCAAATATGATTGCTGTACTTAAAGAGATAAGTCCCAAAATTTGTAGAAAGATCAGCATTTTAAATATTATTAAAGTCTACCTAATTAAACTTATACTGATAAAATCACTAAAAGATGTAAGAATATACTGTGGTGTTACTTTACTATTTTCTAGAAAAGCATACTGTAATTCAACTAGATTGGTCTAGCAAATTAAATTAATGTTTGTTAATCATCAAATTGATTTATGAATAACACATTAGCTAATAACGTTCAATACTATTTATAAATTAATCTCACGACACACATTTCACTAAACGGAATATTTCGTTTGAATTTACAATTCCAGCGTTTTCTGTCGAAGTAATTTTCAGTTTTATATCTTTGGCGATCATTGTATCTTTGACATCTTCTTTCCAGGATTGCCTTGAACCTCGTTTTCTCCTAGTAGGCGGAGTATTTTTTTATTATCTTCTTGGCTATCTATTTTCAGGCATTCTTTGCAGGTGTCCATAGCAGTTTTGTCTTTTGGGCTTCAATTGTGTCTATTAGGTTTAAATCAATTTCCATTTATCTCCGAATAGAATAGTTCATTTCCATAGCCTTTAATTTGTTTTAGTTTTTTTTTTATTATAATTGCCTAAAGTTCAGCGCCCTACAACCCAACACTTTTTATTATTGTTTCATAAATAATTTTTTTATTTTCTTTTATTATTTGGGAGTTTGGGGGGTGGTGTTCTCCATATTATTGGAGTGAGCTTGAAGCTATTATTATTGTGCTGCGATGTGACGTCAAATCAAAGTTTTATTCTATTGCACTATGGATGTGAGTTATCCCTTTTGTTACAGCAAGATCTATCGAATCTCTGATAGGGTCCATAGGCCAGTATATGGGTTCTTCTGTTAATAAGTATTTTAAGTTACTCTGTTGGATAATATTCATTAATGCCGGACATTTAGGCGTGAATAATCTTGAACGCCATGTGGTGTGTTTGGCATTCCATTCTTCTTCTTCTTCTATTGCCGTCTCCACTAATGAAGGTTGGCTATAATCTTTGCAAATTCTCCTTTATCTTCTGTTTTTCTTAAGATCATCTGCGGTCCAATCGCGAATGTTTTTTAGCCAGGATATTTGTCGTATACCAGGATCCCTTTTTCCTTCGATTTTACCACTCATAACTCCTACTTATTATTTCTAAGTTTGTGCCCCAGATATGCTGTCTTTCGCCTTTTAATGGTGATCAAAAGTTATCTGTCTCTTCTCATTCTGTGCAACACCATTACATGGTATTTTCAAAATTCTCCTAAAATTCCACATCTCAAAAGCTTTTCATTAAGTCAAAATTAGCAGTCCAGGTTTCGACATCGTAAACAAGAATAGAGTGGATACAACATTTTACCATCCGATATCGGATCTTGAGATTAAGTCTTTGGTTACTCTAAAATTTTCTCATCTTCAAAAAGGCTGTTTTTGATTGCTCTATTCTTTAGTGAATTTCTGATTTTGGATTCAGATCTTCCGTAATCCAGATTCCTAATTAATTTATTTTGTCCACTTGCTCTTCATTTTTTATCTGGATCCTTATAATGACTTTACCCCTCTTACTGATAACCATGATTATTGTTTTCTTCATGTTTATTATTAAACCAAACTGTTCCCCAGTATCACAATTATCTTTAATAACGTCTACAGGTCTGTCTTACTTTCAGCGATAATGACTATATCGTCAGCATAACGGATGTTATTTATATTTTCACCATTTATCTTGATCCATATTATGTACAGTTTTCAGGTACTTCCATAGATAACACTTCGGAATATATTATTGTGATCTACTTTGACTCTGTTGATGTTTCTAGATGTAATCCACTTTAATTAATGAATCAATTAATTATTTCATTAATTAAACAAATCAAAAGATAAATAAAATATAAATCTGAGGGCTGAATGACCCTATCAATACTTATTTTTGTGGCTTCAAATATTTCTCAGTGGTTTCCTTATAAGGAGATACATAAGAGAATTAAAATAATACACATATGAATTTCAGTTAGAAATTATAAAAATCATTTAGTTTATCAGAATTGAAATCGATATTCAATATTGCAAATTTTATTTATTCTCCTATTCTTATTTCATATAACAATTACAAAAAAAGAATCTTATTTCTTTTTGTCTCAATTTTTTTTTAATTATTAACTGTAAATCTCCCTACTTCTGCTTCATATAACAATTACAAAAAAAAAGAATCTTATTTCTTTTTGTCTCAATTTTTTTTTTAATTATCAACTGTAAATCTCTCTACTTCTGCTTTATAGAATGTTCTCAATGTTCAATTTTAAAACAATTTTTATTTTTCATTATTGTATCATAAAAAAAGTCAACTACAATGATTTATAATAAATAAAACTGATTAAAGTTTGATGATTTTATAATAGTGAAATATGTAGTTCCATATGGCCTGTGGTATTTAACACGAAAAACAATACATTTATAGCATAACAGAAAACCACCGACCTTTGCTGATGATTATACATTGTCATCACCCATAACACGTTCTCTTACTTGCTGGTGTTTGGATCAAAGAAAAACTCGTTCACGTTCCTCAAGAATGTCTCTGCTCCTCTGCTAAATTTTGTTCTTCTTTCCATTCACTGCTTCGAACCGTACTCGTTCCGGCTTTCTCCTGATGCAATCTTTCAAATTTTTGAATCACTTAACACAATACTGTATACTTTAGACTCAAGAATTTATATCATCTCTCGACTTAACCTATTACTCGTTTTACGGTTTTTTTGTATGATGCTTGTAACTTTTCAAACTCAAACCGGCCTTTTCCTTTTTTGTACACTGCACTTAAAACTGGACTTATCCTTTCGATCGAACAACACACACTCCTCACTCTCCTCATTTATTCTCCTACTTCCAAATCGTTTCCCCGACAATTAATTTTCCATCCAATCAAAACCAACTTTTAATCATGTTGCATTATTTACCCAAAACTACCTCTCTCGTTAATCTAAACAAATTTTCGAATTAACGTATATTCTTGTCTTTATAGAGTTCCAAAAAAGAAATAAAATTCCGTATCCTTATTCTACTTTCTACAACTAATCACGTTCTTATCTATTTTTGCGAATCTTAATACAAAGGTAGATTTTAACTGTCTATCATGTAGGTACCGTACGGGTTAATGAGTTCCCAACCCGCATATCTCGAAGAGTTATAGCCTCAGCCTAGAAACAAAAATAAGGCTCCTTAAATGTTATGTGAACTCAGTGTTGCTGTACGGAATAGAAACGTAGTAATTGAAGGCGGAAACTCTATCAAAACTTAAGGCTTTTGGGCTATGGTCATATAGAAGGATCTTAAAGATACCATGGACAGGATGAACACAACTGCGGACTTGGTCAACATCGTAAATGGCCGTAAGCTGCAGTGCTTAGGCCATATAATAAGAAATCAGGACGAAGAAGAATATCCTGGCTTGCTAACCTGAGAGCATGGTATAGAAAGACCTCAACACAGCTATGTCGTATAGCAACCAACAAATTCATCATAGCCAGAATGGTCGCCAACGTTCGGAACGGACAGACATCCTAAGACGAAGAAGAATATCTCGAAAACTTAATAGTCTCTCCTTTGTTTAATTAAAATTATAAAATAATGTCCGTGGTTTTAATAAACAATTCAACGAACACTTTCTTACACCATCAACCCTAATCGTCTCTAATTGTTTGCTTAAAATACATTGTTTATCGGGCTAGTAAACAATTCTGCGAAACACTCTCTTAAAACTAGCTATAATTATTTTTCAAAACTTTTCATATACAGGGCGTTAGAAAATTTATATGCTCGTGGTTGAGAAACAATAAATTTTTATTTTAATTTAAATTTCAAATAGGAATATAGTTTTTTATTTCTCATATCAAATATGAATATAACAAATTATTAAATAGTAATATTAAAAGTACACAGCCCTGTCTCACTCCTCTACTTATCTGTTGAGCATCCACGCTATTTCCATCTATTGTTACCACAGCCAGTTGGTTCCAATTGTAACGACATATTTTTCTTACCTCAGGGTAAGAACATTGGGGAGAAGATTGGGCAAACAAAATAATCGAAACTAGTGCGTACGGCACTCAGAGGGTTGTTGGAGAGCTGGGTCGTGGATAAGTTGAAATAAAATTGGTCGGATTGGGGTATCTACAAAATAAAAACAAGGGGATATTTACATAAATCTCCTGGACAATTAATACAACAAAAAAAGAAGCTTCTAGCAATTTAAGATAAGGGCGCCGCTTTGAAGGATCCTAGTTTGCTGAAGGATAGAAAAATTCTTCTTTCCTAAAATCAAAAATACATACAAGGATTAGGAGACTTTTCTTAATTAAAACACAAAATGGATCAGACAAACAAATCAAACGTTTGTTTTTGTAAAATGATAAAGACAGCAAATATTTGATTTTACGCAAACAACTCCTATGTATCTGTTGATACGTATTTCGACCTAATAGGTCTCATCAGAACAGTTATTCATAGGTGTTCTCAACGTGAAAAATTAATATTTTCTGTCTTTAAAGAAGCAACACTAAAATGGCTTTAATACGGACGCGATAGCGACATCTAATAATAAAAAAACATTTTTTATCAACGTCTGTTTGCCTTGCAATTTTTAGAGGGCTCAGATTATAAGCAGAAATCTGAATTGTGTTTCGAAACTATTTTACGGATTTTATTATTAGATGTCGCTATCGCGTCCGTATTGAAGCCATTTTAGTATTGCTTCTTAAAAGACAGAAAATATTGATTTTTCACGTTGAGAACACCTATGAATAATTGTTCTGATGAGACCTATTAGGTCGAAATACGTATCAACAGATACATAGGAGTTGTTTGCGTGAAATCAAATATTTGCTGTCTTTTTCATTTTATTCGGCTATACTTTGTGTGAGTACAAGAAACACAATTCGCTAAGGATTTCTGCTTAGTTGTAAAAGACATGTCGTGGAATGCAAATTTTAGATTCCCCATGTTCCTTTTAACATCTTTTATCAACGTCTATTTGTCTTGCAATTTTTAGAAGGCTCAGATTATAAGCAGAAATCTGAATTGTGTTTCGAAACTATTTTACGGGTTTGTTTTTGTCTTAAATAAACAGTTTTCAAAAATACAGATTACACAAGAGCATACTATATAACATAATACAAATTAACAAAAACTTACGTGTTATTTGTTTACAAAAGAGATTGCTACAAAAATTCTTGAAATGGTTCCTAGGTTATAATATGGTCAAATTAGATTATCAAAACTTAAGGATATCCTTTTTATGAAAATACTGTAGAATTTAACCTTATATATGAAATATCTTTTCTATATAATAATCAAATAAAAATTGTTTGACAACAACAATGGATTAGAGCAAAATATCATATGTCAACATAACATTTTAAGACAGGATAAAAGATGACAGTTTTAGCTACGACTCTAACATAATATAAAACTTTAATTATTACAAATTTTTATTGAAAGCAATTATTACAAATGTCTATATAACTTGAAAAAATTAATAGATATATTAATTGTTACATTATTTTCATATATTGCACTTAACTTTGAAACTTGCTAAACATCTATGAGATATCTGGACATATTCTCCAACAGGAACAAGGAAACATTTCCATACTCAGGAACGACGATCAAATCAGGTTTGGTGGAGGAGCAAATCGGACGACAGGGACATCCTATATACTAATTTAATCAGTTTTACTGTTACTTACCTGTTCTAACTGCGATTAATTGCAAAGAGTATTATGACATTGACCGGTCTTAAAACATTACAAAAAATGAATCAAGTTCCGATTCAAAAACGCCCAAACATATTTATCGTCTCTGTTGCTTCACCTTCGTCCACAAAACGTCTTCTCCGCAATTCCAAATTTCCCTTCACCTCTCCGCAGCTGGTTTCTGGTCTACGAAACCTAAACAAACAATATTACCTCTCGCTCGTTCTTAACAACCTCGAAACGACAACAAAACATCTTGAAATATATATTTTTAAATTGGGTAAAAATAACACGTAGTTTTTTTTACCTGACAATGTAACAGAGAACTGGAGATTTAAATGTAAACACAGACAAAAACATCTATATATACTTTTGAATCGGTAGAAATACACGTATTATATTTATTATTTTAAGCGGAATAATTTTCTACCTGACAATGTAACAGAAACAAAACATCTATATTTTTGCCTTATGTCGTCAAAATACTTGAAATATTCTATGTAGTTCGAACATCAACACTTATTTAACTTCTCAGCCGAAATATAAAAAAAAAACTGGATACAACTGGAGATAAACAACCAGGGGCGTACTACAAAGATTTAAAACCGAATTTATATTATTATATAGACATTAAACATAAAACGCTACACAATAGAGATTTTTTACTATGTTAACTGTCATTTCTGTCGAGTCCTTTTATCTTTAGATATTCCATGAGAATGTTACTGAAAGCTTTCTCATAGTCTAAAAACGCAAAGAACAGATCTTTTTGTCGGTCTCGACATTTTTGGGCAAGAGTTGTGGTTGTGAAACTATATAGAGCTTCCACTGGCAATCCTGTAGGTAAATAAATAAGTTCGATTTGATGTTGTATATCTTTATTAAATAAAAGATACATCCAAACTGTTTGTTAATTAAGGCGAACTATATTAAAAGAGATATTATCAATTTCTTCCCCAATTTACGTCAAAGAATTTATGGTTTGAAAATTATGAAAAAGCACAAATGAATGAAACTGAACTTGTGATCTGACCAGTATTCGAGGACTGTTTGGATATGGCATTAACATACTAAAGTTGTTATGTTCTCACTAGTGTTACTACTGAGTTACAAAAACTATGATTTTTCGTTATTTTTTCTGCTAAAATCTCTAGACAAAGCGTAACTATACTTATGATCAAACATAATATATAGAGATAAAATATAACTTGCAAACTTTTCATATTTAAGGGTTTATAATATAATTGATCATGTTTTTTTATTAAGAATTTTGTTTTTTCATACCTTCTCTTATATTTTCTACAATGATATTCGCTCAAACCACTTTCTTTAAGAATTCTTATTTTTCGGTTAAATAAATCACGTAAAGGATGTCCTTTTCTAAATACAAAAACAAAATATAAAACTGCTTTATCTTCCCTTTTAATTATTTTCACCATTGGTTCATTTTCGGAGTTAACAAACATCTCTGATAGAAAATATTGTCCTATTTTTAAAGGTAGGGGCAAAAATAGGTCCTTAACGTACGCAACTTGTTTAATACATTTAAAAATATTCTTACCACAATAAACATTAACATTTGACTCAATCAGTTTCTGTTCAGTAGGATCTGTATATTGTGTATATTGTTTATTGACTACAGGTAGTAAAAGCCCTATATCAATTTTGTATTTTAACAGATCAAATGGTGTTTCTATTATGTTGTAAGAGTTATTCACCCTCATTATATCAAACATTTTACTTTTGTAACAAGTTGTGAAAACTACAACACAAAATAAATAAAAAACGAAGAGTATTTTAAAAGGCCTAGATTTGGCTTTGACAGAAGCAAAGAGGCCTTCAAACAAAATACTAAGCAGAAACAAAGTTGTTGAAGCATTCCTATCTTCTTTTAAAATTTTTTTTACTATATAAAAAGCGAGATATAATATCGACATCGTTATCAAAAAATATACCCAAACAGTAGTTTCATATTCGGTATACAAAACATCCCAAAATCCTTCCCTTATTATAACGGGAGCTAAAAAGATTACTTCATCCTCGGAAACTTCCACTGTTTTATCCACTTTCATATTTTCAAATTGGCTATTAGTAGTTAATGTGGCGACTATGTCGTAAGAATTATTGGTCATAAATTCTTTAGGAATCAACATTGGATTTGTTGAATAATTAGACCTAATGAAATTTATTTTTAATTTCAAACTAGAACCAATAATCTTAAATAAATTAACATGAATGCCATCTTCTGGAGATAAAATATAGGGAGGATAAATATCATAAAAAATATTTATGTGAGTAAATCGTTTTGTGTAGTTTTTGAAAAAGTCCGCTTGTAAAAATTTCATGGAATTTTCAAAATTATTAGTTTTGTTAAGTATGTTACACAAGAATACATTTGCGATATTTGTTCTGGCAAACTTCTGAGTGTGTAATGTGCATAGTTCATAGTTTTTATTTTGGTTCATTTTCAGCACTACAACTTTATAAATATAATATCGATGTATCATTTTCAGAACACTATTAGTAATTTGGTCAACTAGCAATATAAAATTACTCCTGCTGTTGAGTAAAAGTGACTTAGAAAGGGAACTTAAATGACCACTGATGTTTTTCCCTATAATATAAAAGTCTGGATTAAACTTTTGCGTGTATTCTACATTAAGTTCTCTTCCAAATGAAATCACAGGGTAGTTAATAATGCGTATAGGAAAATCTGTTATATAAATTGTCTTCTTTTGGCAGTCCGCTGATTCGATTATTTTATTTACCAAACACTCTAGGTTATTGGTAGAGAACCTTTCAATTATGATTGCTGTACTTAAAGAGGTAAATCCCAAAATTTGTAGAAAGATCGCCATTTTAAATATTAACAAAGTTTACCTAATTAAACTTATAGAGATAAAACCACTAAAAGATGTAATAATATACTGTGGTGTTACTTTACTATTTTATAGAAAAGCATACTGCAAGTCAAGTAGATTAGTCTAGAAAATTAAATTAATGTTTGTTTAATCATCAAATTGATTTATGAATAACACATCCGCGAATACCGCTCAATATTTTATATAAATGAAACTCACGACATTCATTTCATTTAACGGGATAATTTGTTTGAATTTACAATTCCAGCGTTTTCAGTCGAAGCAAACTTCAGCTTTTAATACTATGGCAATCATTGCATCTTCTTTCCTGGACCGTCTTGAAACTTATTGTCTTCTAGTGGGCGGAATCTTTTTCGTCATCTACTTTCAGGCACTCGCTACAGGTGTCCATACCAGCTTTGTCTTTTGGCTTCAATTGTATATTATATCTAGATCAATTTCCATTTATCTCCGATTACCATTGTTCCTCAATCTATCCAGTCTAGTGCGCCAGCAACATCGTCTACAATAATTCATTTCTATAGCTTTAATTTTTTATATGTTTTTTTGAATAATTTGCCTGTGCCAAACTCTGTGGAAAACTCTGTGTTTTTGTTCCTTTGTTCGTTATGGTTACTCCTAGGTATTCAAATTCTGACACCTTTTCGAAACTATAGACAGTCTCTGCCCCTTTCATTTTGATGTATGTGTTATTGCTTGTTATGTGTCCCCTCATTTATTGCGTTTTGTTTGGTTTATTATTAATTCGTATCTATTCGTTTCCTCTTTGCAAATTTGTTAAAAAATTTACAAATGTTAAATTTGCTTGTTTATTTTTCATTCTAATATATGATATTCTTCCGTCAACGTTTGCGTTCTCCTGCGTAGTATATTGTGCAATTTATTCTAGCAATCATCCCTTCTCATACCCACCTTATTTCTTGTAGCGCTAGGTATTCCGATCTTGTATTTTATTATTTGTTTTGCCAACTCTTTCATTTTGCCTGGTCTTAGAAGTGTTTTGATATTCCACGTTCCTATTCTTGTTTTTCTATTTTTGTTTTTTGCTTTATTTTGTTTTGTTTTGTTTTTGCGTCTTTTCTTACAAAACAGTTTGTCCGTATAAATGTCCGTATTCATTGCCAACTCCGTTATACTGTCGCCGTCTTTTGTTATTTTTTTGTTAGTTTTTTGACGCCATTTTCATCAATTTTCCTCTTGGATCTACATTATCAGATATGGGAGATCTGTCATTTATTGTCCTAGCGTTACCCTTCTTCTCTTCAGGTTTCTTCCAGTAATTTACATCTATGCCTTCTAATTGCTTCCGTGAGAACGGTTCACCATTTATCCGTAATTTGTTGTATTTTAATGCGGCTATGTGTCCTTCCTGGCGTACCATTTTTATGTGCTGGAGAAGATGCTTCCTTTCTTGTAGTGTTTTCTTCGGGAAGTCCTCATTGACATATATTTTAGTTCCTCTTAGGTTTTTAGCAGCCTTCAGAATTTCCATTCTCGTAGCTTCCTTTTTCATTTCTAATATGATGGGTCTGGGTACATTTTGAGGATTAGCTTGTCTGTCTATCCTTCTCATCTCTACCAGTTCTTCATCTAGGTTTGTTTGTACGCCGATTTTTTTTCATTATCCCCTTTACCTTATTTATCGTCTCTTGTTCGCTTTCTGTTTGGTTTTCTTCGATCCCCTGTACTACTATGTTTTTTCTTCTAGCTTGTCTTTCCACTATTTCAATTCTAACTTCTTGTTCTATGATTTTAGTTCTCATTGCTTTGTTATCTGCCTTCAACTGTTCGTTTTCTTTATTTAATTTATCCAGGTCTACTTAAATTTTATCTATTTTGCTTTAGATTCTTACATTTCTTTCGTCGATTTTCCGCGATTGTACCGTGGTAAGGATGTCCGCCCACTCGACTTGCCGGAGCTTCAACCCTTCTCAGTACTTTGGAGTTATACTGAGATTTGGATTTTCGTAATAATGATTCGGCTTTAATGCAGAAATATTTTAATAGCCGGCAACATCGCTTGTATTTCAGACAGCACTTTAGCTCTTATCGGGATGTTTTTGACATGAATTAATTGTTTATTAATTGTTTAAAGAGGTTATTGTGCTTTTTGCAATGCTTACTCTCTGATATCTGCTGAATTTTGAAATATTTTATTCTATTTCTGATATATATATATATATATATATATATATATATATATATATATATATATATATATATATATATATATATTAAATATTTTATTCTGATAGTATATCAAATTAGTAACAAAGAACTTACTTCAGTAACAATCATCTCCACACCAGTACCTGTTAATTGCGCTGCTCTCACTGACAGCTCAGAACCTTCATCAGAGTAGTCTCAATATCCGTTCTGCTAGAGAAAGGTCAATGGTTTGGTAGCACCTTCTACTCCAGTTCCCTGGCAACATACCTCACCTCTCTGGCACGTCTTTTTGCTTTAATTTTCATCTTACATATTTTCTGAAAATTATAAAGCTGTATTAAATTGAGCTCATGTATTAATTAAGTCTATAAAATATAAGGAGGAGTCATTGAAGACACGTGAATTAAAAGTACGTATGATGTGCACACAAAATAGAAAAAAAAATAGAATAATTAAGTAAGCAGAATGGGGAGACCCGTGTCATCAAAATAGCAAAAAATAAATCACCAATCGGTAGAAGTATCGGACTACCGCTGAAAAGATGGATTGACAATCTTCCACAGTGGTATCAATCCGCCAATGAACAGAATTGCTTATAAAGAGAAAGAAGAAGAAGAAGTATTGCATCTTCGACTTCCTCAACTGTTAGGTCATCCTCTTCATCGTATTTCACTTCAGCTATTCTTATAATGGTGTTCGTGAATTGCTATCCTGTTCTAGTCAGAAGTTGTGAGTAATGTTCGATATCAAATGTAACATGGGTTATAAATATAGATACAAATAGAAAAAAAATTGATCTAGATATCTCAGAAAAAAAAGCTAATAGACTAAAAGAAGAGAAATAAAATTTAACATTTGTCGATGGTAAATTTCGATATTACCAGTCTGTTCACCAGTGTGCGGTTGGAGAAAACTTTAAAATAATAAGAGTCAAATTATAGAGCGAACATCTCTACATGAAGCCTTTCATATGACAGAGGATAACAGCTAATGGAAACAGCAAGCTAATAATATAGAGTCTCGCCAACCCTCACAGGGGCTTTAGAAATGATGGGGAGGAGATCGAGATTGACAACACTTTCAACAAAAACGATTCAGTTATATAACTTCTTTGCACAGACATTTTCATTTTATTTTTAACTGGATAATGGGTTTTATAAACAAAATTTTGGAAAAACTCATAACTTAGAATCAATAAACATAAATAGAAGGGTTAAAGATAGAAGGAGAATTAGTAAATAAAATAAAAATGGTACGATGTCATAAAAATATTTTTCCCAATATAACCCAGGGAAGCTGTTACCTATATTTAAAGGGGTAGCATATTTAGTAAGGCAAAAGAAAATGGATTTTTGGCATTTCATATAAAATATGTTAACACATATTTCTCAGCTGAGATTGCAGTTGTATTACTGACTGCAATTCCGGGCATACTTAAAATAATTGTGGAAAAAAATGTCATGTCTAATTCAGGAATTTTTTCAATGAAATGTTTGTATTACTTTTCCCTCAGTTGCAGAATCCTTGATTAATAAGTAGCAGTGTCATATTTCTATAATATTTCTGTTATTGCGTAATTAGTTAAAACATGCAGGGATGTTGTTCGTGCAATGCTCTAGAAATAGTGAAATTCTCATCGCATTCTATTACGTTCATTGACAATGCGCTTTCTGAATCAGGTGTTGATTAAAATTTTTGCAGATTTATCTGCTGTTTGTGAATGAGAAGCGTAATAAGAAGGCATAGTACTTTCCGCCAGTGGTAACGTATTCGAAGATTTCTTGTGGAATACCTGAATAAGGTGTCTATTACAACAGTTAATATTTAACCTAAAGATGTTACATCGGACCATAATCCAGTAATCGAAAACAGAAGCATAACATTGAAAAATCTCAAAAGAAAAGGTTGAAAAGGGGTCACTGACAAAAAACAATAATAAATTGAAAGAACCGAAATTTATATAACAGACTTCTTTAAATTAATTACTATTTAACTGAGAATAAGCAACAATTAAAGATAAAAATACGTTTATTGACGTTTCAATTTCCACTTCGGAAATCGTTCTCAAAATACAAACAGTAACTTAAACAAATTTTGTTTTTTGTTACATAGTGAAAAATTCTTCTAATAATTTAATTTTATCTGACTCATTTATATTGACAACTCATTTTAAAGTAGACAACTTTAAAATGATATTGCCAATATTGTTGAGTTGCGCTCCTGGGAATACTTTGCTTATAAGATAGTTCATTCGATTACATGAAATCAACTTTAACTTGAGAATATCCGTCAAAAAAAAAATCATAGCATGTAATTCGTCTTTAAAAAGACAAACACATGACATTATGACAGTAAAATTCTCCTGTTAGTGATTCCATAGTAAATTATGAGGGAAAACCCAGGAAAAAAACCTCATAATACTATCCCGATATGGTAAGTATTTGTTCGTGCATTTAGTTTACCTTCAATAAACACCAAAATTCTGATTTTATATGTTTCGTTATTTAAAGAACATAAATGATGTATCCTCTATATGTTACTGACTTACTAATACTGGTAGTTTCTTATTAATAACTTCCTCTTTCAATATTGGTAACCAGATCCTACTACATTCTGCCGAGGAATTTGCGACACAATTGGTCTCATTTAGCATAATTAGAGCCGCTTCTTTGATTTTTCTTTTTTTACCATCCGTTTCTTTTAGGACTACATTTGAATTATTCCATTGAGCCCTATGTTCATTATCCCATGCGTGTTAACATATTTGAGATCTATAAAATTCTCTATTTTTAATATAAGATTGATATTCACTTATTCTATCATTTAATGGCCTTGATGTTTCACCTAAATAAAACTGATCGCATTCACAAGTAATTTTGGCTCTATCGTATAAGGATTAAATTATTTCCTTTTTTACATTAATATTGTGATTTGATTTGAAATTTAAATATCTATTGGTTTGTGTTGGTTTTCTATACACCTGAGTCTCATATCCAGTATCGTTCTTAGAGATTAAAACATCCAGGAAAGGTAGCGTGTTATTATATTCCTTTTCCATGGTAAATATTATAGTCTCTTCTTTATCGTTTATATCATTTAGGAATGTGTCCAACAACTCTGATCCATGAGGCCATATTAAGAATACATCATCTACATACCTCCACCATATTGTGGGTTTGAAATTTTGTTTAGAAATGATATTTGTTTCAAAATCTTCCATAAATATAATAGACTTCTTTAAGTTTCGCAAAATTGATTTATGTGCATATCCCAGCGAAGATATGAATTAATCTAAATTCCTTAATATTTTGTACTGTTTGCTTTATTAACCATTAATTATCATCATCAACCTGTATGCGTCCACTGTTAGACATATGTCTTCTTCAGCTCTATCCATTACTGCTAATACGCTTAAGGTCGTCAGTTCATCTGGTTGGTGGGCGTCATCTGCTACGTTGTGCAGACTTGTATTGGTCTTCACTAGACAATACGTTGTGTCCATCGGTTGTCTCATAATCTAGCGACGTGTCCTGCTCAATCCCATTTTAGCGAAGAAAATTTTTTGATGGTGTCTGTTCTTTTTGTTCTACGACGTATTTCTTCGTTTGGGATTCGGTCTCTCAGAGAGACACCTATCTGGTGCTCCATATCCCTCTAAGTCACGCGAATCTTATTCACTATCTTTTTGGTGAATATTATTGTTTTCGCCCCATCAGTGAGTACAGGTAACACACACTGGTCAAAGATGTTTCTTTTGAGGCATATGGGTAGGTCCGATTTAAATTCATAGTTAAATTTATCAAACGCTGCTCAGGCTAATGCTATGCGACGTGGGAGCTCACATGTATCGTTATCTCTGCCCAATCGAATTTTATGTCTTAAGTACTTATAGGATGCAATCTGCACAATATCCCTTCCATCAACAGCAATATTTCGATTTAGCACCAGATTAGTCATTATTTGCGTCTTGTTCATATTAACATTTGGTCCCACCTCCAAGAAAGCGTGATATAATTTTTCAAAGATTATTATTGCATCATTCATACGATCATCTATAAGGACGATGTCATCTGCGATGCTCGTTCAGATCTGTCTTCTTACACGTATGTTCTAAAAGCGTCGTGAAGAACTTTGGAGAGACGTTGTCTCCTTTTTATACTCCTTGCTGTATCTTTTTCTTCTTCTTTACTGGCTTTACAACTCGAGGTGAGTCTTCGCCGCATCCACTATCATCATCCATCCACTACGATCTTGCGCTTCTATTTCCCATTGTTGTACCCCAATTCTAGATAAATCGGCTTCAACATCATCCTTACATCTTTTTCTCGGTCATCCTACTGATCTTGAACCATCTGCTCTTTCAAAAAACACTCTTTAACACTCGCGTCAACCTCTGATCGTACC